CAAAGGGCACTAAGCCAACAACTCGGATCATGTGAGCATAGGGCCACACAAACTGCAGAGGAATGCAACGATTGCATTTTCTGTACCCATCTGCATCGGAGGTATTCACAGTGGTCATCTTTTGGCCAGTGTCTAGCGAGGGCATTAAGGCATGGCAGAACGCACCAACACACGGTAAGTTCACTAAGCACCGTTCCATCGATAGGCGTATAGATATATGATAGTCTGGCAATAAAATTACGTGCTGTACTGCTGTAGGGCTCTACCTAAGTTATCTGTAGTGAGACGCTTTATTTTACTCTGCAGACATTGTGGACAGTTATGGAGCGTTTTCAAGCACAACTCCTGTCTCCTTCCTTCCGCCCACCAAAAGGGAACCTTCATGGAGGAAGCGAGACAGCTAGGCTGCACGTTACTTCACCGTTCAAGCACTCTAATCATCAGGTACTTGCGCATAGACCTAGCGCACACAACACAGCAATAAGTCTTCTCACACGGAGATAGCAGTATTTTGCAGTAAATAAGATATACGACAGCCGAAGTCAATTATTCAGGCCCTACCAATTCTAAAGTAAATATAACTACTGCTCGAAAGCGTTCAAGTCTAGCTTAGCCCGTTGCATACAAACTCAATTGGCTAGGCAATATAGTGAACAGTCAGGTCGGCTCTCAACAGTAAATAGTAAGCCTCTCGAGAAAAGCCGATTGGTGTACCTTCAGAGTGAACAGCCATGAACCACTAACATGCAGCAGGATGTCGCGAATCTGTTCCACGAACAAACGGGTATACCAACAGGTTCGTCTACACATGTGCTTGCCCACGCGCAATCAAGGCATCTTTGTTCGCAAATAGGGTGTATTCAGGTATTAATCAAGCATTATTACACATTCTTGTCAGCAGCACCACTCCTCCCCACCAATGTGCCTCAAGAGTTCCGTGTTCTGACCCCTGCGAATCCTGTAGTTAAATTAGCCCTGCATGTTCGGACGGTTCCACTCTCAATAATTCCCAAGAGACATATCCACAGTGATTTATGATTTTCCAATAAAAAACAATACGAATCATGCACAACACGTAAGCAATATCAATTTCTCTCTCGCATGCAATCCTCACAGGCACCCTATTTGGGGCTTCCAAACAGCCAAAAGCAAACAAGGGAGAGCGCTTAGCCACCCAAGCACGAAATTCGCAGTATCTTTACCAAACCAAGCCTTATGAGGGATGTGGGAGTCCTGAGAAATTAGCATGCGGAATAGTGGTGGACTCCAGCAAGGGGCCCCCGATGGCTTGCCTCTTGGACTACAAAGCTTTGTCGGATATCCGTAGCACTTAAAAGTTTACCAATCATCCAGTAAAACTGAGCAACAGGAGGCTGCCGGCTACTATCACGGAAGCTGAACTGCCGACCATCGGATTTTCCTCCTTGATGACCGGAGCTACTTTGGGAGCACAAACACAATTTGCAGGAAGCGCAGTAAAAGCGCACGGACCCGTGTCCCTTTCTGGTTCTGTGACGCTTCGCTTTCTCCAATGTCAGCAGCGAGCGCCGACTCAGCGAATGGGCCCCATCCCACAGGCGGGCCCCAGTCCCTCGTTTCTGTGCGCAACGGCGTGCAACCTGAGGACCCCCAGTGCCCTGCTTCCGCATGTCCGGAGGTATATCTGACAGATCGCCTGCCGCATGCAATTCTCCTAGACGCGTTGCCGTATGTGGACCCTTTGCCAGCAGAGCAGCAGCAGCAAGTGCAGCAGCTACTACAGCAGGAAATGGCGGCTATAGCGCAGGAGGCGGGAGGACCGAGTTGCATCCCCGACTACCTGAAGGATCTCCCTTTTCCTCAGTTGCCCTTGCTTGATGATATGGAATGCATGCTGGGCAAAGAAATGGCCAGGAAGGCAAAAGGTTAGCTCAAAGAGCAGGTCATCTGTAGAACCGCATAGTGTTTAGACAGCCCAAAAGGTTTCGCAGCTATAGATATCGTAGATTTGGCATATGTTGGGGCTAATAGAAACCAAGTAGAACTGGCAGAGCAAGAGTCAGAAGCAACTAGATCAGCCTTCCGGTAATGCAAGTCCTGTGCCCGCATTATTTGCCCATGCATGCCTGTATTTCCGAGCCTGTGCATATGAGAATGTCTATGTATTTGTCTATTTGCCCATCAGTATCTATGCATGCCCATCCCCCAGCCAGCGCTACTGTATATCCACGCTTATCTGCCTTTTGCATTGTACTGCGTTTGTGCGCACCATGTGTGGACCACGGTGCATTAGTCCTCATGTCTGTACTTCTGTACATTGCCTTGTCTCCTGCTGCTCGTCTCTCATCAACCACAGCCACACGTTTCTCCACTTTGCTTCTATCAGCTTCGTTCTGCAGGTATTGCTGCATTGTTGTGCCTCGGTCCACTCTTTTCTTGCTGTATCTGGTCTGTCTGCTCGTTCGAGTTCAGGTGACCCAATTCCCGAACTGGATATGTCCAAGTACACTGCCTTCTCTGTCCCCTCTGGCGCCAAAGCATCAGACCCTAAGGCATGGGAATCTGCTGTTTCGCAGTGTCAACAGTTACTGCAGCATGCAGCGACGGCCCACATAAACCTGGAACTTATGAATTCTCATGCTGCTGCTTCTTGGCAGAGACACCTCACCAATCTTACTCAAGCTAAAGACAGGTTACACAGACACAAGCGCACACCAAAACCGCCGATATGCTAAAAACTTGTGGCTTTGTCTCTGCTACTGTTTCCCTATTCATGGGATCGTCGCCTCCCCTGCATCTCTGCATTATCTCCTGTTGCATCACGTTTTGCTGCCTCTCCTCTGTGTGCATGCACATATAACGAGGCTGCTCAACCCTATTCGCTCTTCCTTTATGTATATTTTATGTGATTTTCAAGCCGATTTCTCCATTCGTTGTCCAGCATGCTGGTTTTATAGCAATCTTGGAACATTTCGTGGTTCTTCCTTTTGTTGATGAATATTTCATTTCTGATTTATTATTAGTTTGGATTCACAAGCATCGCTTTATTTCTTGATTGATCAGAATGACCGGCTTGGCCAAGCGTCGCGCTGAGGAGGCAAATTCGATCTGTAAGATACGAAAGATGCAACAGGTGGAGGCAGCCGGAACCCTGAAACAGCTCGAGCAAACGGCTCAAGAATATAAGACAAAGTAAAGCATCCAGAACACGCATAAATAAACCCGATTGTCGAAAATTGGCTGCAGCGACAGTGCCAAAAGTTGCAGGGATTGCAGCTGTATATATGCCTGTGCACAGTTGCTTCTTGTCATGTCCAATCTCCTCTCCTCGTGTCTCCCATGCTGTCTGCATCCTCTTCCCCGTCCCCATTTGTTTGCTTTATTTTTTCCCGTCATCCGCCTATCTTCCCAATCTAGTCACTATTTGTATGTCGCATTGTTTTGTTTTGGTCTTTTTGCTATTTCCTTCGTTCCTCCTTCCTTCGCATTTCGAATTGCAGCAACGCCTCCATCATTGAGGCCTTGGGTCCTCTGAGCGCGGAGGTCCTCGACTTGAAAGGCAAATGCAGAATCAGGTATCTATTACTTCCTGCATCTATTGTCTACCTATTTGCATGCCATCCAGTCTACATCTTGTATTCGCACTGCATCTGCACGTCTACCTCCACCTCCATCTCGCACTGTGAATATGTGTAGCGAATCTACGTTTATGTAGTCGGACAATCATCAATTCTGAGTAAATCTCTATTTCTAACTTTCTGTTATACGCCCCTCTCTTTCCCTCACCCTAAGAGCTTATTCCTGAGGATGTCCCACCTGTGCGGTGCGACCTACGAGTGCTTCCTCCTACTTTTTTGTTTTTTCATACCAGAGGTATTTTGCCTGAGTACGCGGAAGAAGACGAATTCGACCTGGATGCTTGGCATGAGGCTGCAGGGACTACATCGTAAGCTCAAACTAGCTAGTCGTACCCGCTGGCTGCTAGACAAACAAGTAGCTGGCTAAACGTTTATGACTCAGACTGGCAATCAGGTGTTTAGTTGTACAGCCTGCACTAGCGTTCGTAGAAAGACAGTTGTGGAGCTGGCTAGCAACTTTTTTCTTGGGTGCATGCTGATTTAAGGGGCTTTAACTCGAGGATGCACACGAATGTGCTGCCACTGGCTGTCTCAATGTATTCAGGGAGAGATAAGCCCCTTAAAGAGACGAATATCAGCTGCTGGACTGGCAGATCCTAGTACTGCTTTCATTATTCCGACTGTGTGCTCATACGTATACCACGCTGGATATTGTGTGTTACGTAGCAGCAGCTTCTGTTAGTTTTGCTGTAGCTGCACTACTAGAGGTGCTAACACGACCCTCACTTGGACTTATCAAAGTGGTGTCAGTTACAAACAACCTCGTCTAGATATTAAACATGTACTTAAGTTTTATTTTCTTATTTACATTAGGAGGTACTACTGAAGGAGTTTTAGGTGACTCTACGCTGGGTATTGCTTATATTGCGTTTAAAATCAAGCACACACTTTCTGTTAACTTCACAACAAAGCGAGAAACTAATCTAACCCCATAACTTCTCTTAAAGATGCTGTTCATCTTGCTCTGTGGGCTCTTTGGAGGGGCTTTGAATGCATATGTGTTTGAATTGGCATCATTCATTCGGAAAAGAAAACTGGCATATTATGGAACAGATGGACAGGTAGACTTACGCAGGCAGTTAATTCTTGTTGAAAAAGTAGCCGCAAAGAAGGCGTGCTCCTGTGCCAGCAGCCCCACCAAGACAGCTAAGACCCTTCGCTTTACAGCTTACTCCTGTTGCATAGAGAATGGTGATCGAGAACACCTGGATCTGCTGCGTTGCAGTATCCTTACTTCGGACTAGCAATTCCGGCCTTCATGCAGCTGTGTATGTGGGCTTAAAGCATCCCCCGTTAGATTTTGTAGCGGGAGATGCTACCGTTCCGCACTTTTTGCTACAATGCCTAGATTTATTTGAAGATGAATTAACTTGTTTGGCGGTTTGTGGGTGCAGTTGGTTCCGAAGTAGCTGACATCAATACTTCAAGAGCGAATACTGTCTGCACATGGCTGAGCTCATATACGTGAATGCGCGCGAATGCCCAAAGGGTGCGCCATGGCGCGTGCTAGCAGACCTCCCGATATGTGCGAACCCCATGGGATCACGGCAGGTGTAACGAGCTAAGCTGACCCATAGGGCCGATCCACTTCAATAGTTTTGTTTTACAATCAGCGAAGTATTGACTATATGGTTTGCGTTATATCTTAGTGGCTGCAGAGTAGAGTTAGCTACCTCAACACAGCAAGGATTGATTCAATGTACCTGTGTGCTAGGTGTAGTGTGCAACTAGGTGTGGATCTTCGGAGTGCCTAGCAACGCAGACTCTAGCCGGCCTGTAGCCCTCATGCTAGAACCCTAGGACCCCCGGGTAGCTGAAGGAGGGACTATTTTCCTAGCGGCACCCAAGTGATGTTCTTTGAGCTCTCCTGTTGTGTTTGTGGTCAACTGTCTCCACTCAAAGACCCTAAGCGGCGCGCTACAGTTGGCAACCCCACACAATTCGGTACAACTGTTACTACGCCCATCCACTGCCTGCGGATGAAGTGAGATGTCATGTTTCAATGAGAATCCCACGTAATACCTCTTATCAGGCAGCTGGTGGGCCTTAAAGAACATAAAACGGTACTACGAGACTGGACCACACACCCTGAGATCGCCACAGCTAAAGATCTTGTCGCCGCACCGCTATCTTGCTAAAGCCACTATCCAAAGAGCCATCCCGGTAACAGCAACTAGTTCTTTGGGCAGTCCGTGATGCTGAGCAGTACAAGTTCCCCATGTGCAGTTGCAGTACTCTATTTCCTCTTAGTATCAATCCTTGTACTGGCTTTGAGGATCGGCACCAATATTTCACAGTCTCCTTAGTGACTACCATAAGTCCCCTCACTCGGACGCCCACACGACAGACTTCAGCACATCAGCAAGTTCGACTCAGTTCCTACATAAGAAGTCATCAAGTCGAAAAATAGTCCAGTGCTTCGATGGAATAACCAGCGCTACGCAGAACCAGCACTCAAAGCTTGTTTGGTAGTAAATGATGGTCTTTGTATGCGCTGTTGCTTGCAAGCCACGTTGAGGCCTAGGGGTAATAGCTTTCCCACTGTTTCTGTGGACGCCCGTAATGCGACTGCCACAAGCAACTAGCTGGGAAAAAACGTTTTACTGCTTGCCCATTCTCAACCCCTTCCCATGAATGGGCTCAATCTCCTTGTCACGCTGAACTATGAAGGTGAAGCATGCAAATTTACTATAGATTGGAGGAATAATTGCATGCTGTAATCTCATTGTCACACAGTCGCGCCACTGGAGTAAGGAACAGACAACCAGGCTCCTGTGCAAATCTTTTCTGGGGGGGAAATTGAGAGCCTTGTTATACAAAGGGGGAACAGGATTCCTAGGTGCTGCGAGCGCGCCTTCAACTGCAGAGAACGCACCTGAAGTGGCATCTGTAGTATTTCTTCAATACAACAAGCTCATGGCTATCCTACAACGTTGCACATGGGTATCGCGAACGCATAAGATAATACACTTGTGAAGTATTTCCTTGGATGTGGGATGCGTAGCTATGCAAAGAACGTCATGGAATTCGGCTCATCCAAAGATTTACCAACTCCGTCCTTGTGCAGCCAGTTTTCTGACTTCGATATCTCAAAACCCTCATTAAATGGCGGGCGTAGGTATCACTCGAGGTTATCAAGGCTTTATCTTGCACTGCAACCAAAAGGTGATGCAGTCCTTATCTTGGTAGATACCATCTGCAAAATGGCTCATTGCATACCCATTCGTACAAATGCAGCGGCTGTCGACACGTAGATCTGCCAGTAGTAGACCATCTGGCTCGCTTTCATAACGTAACACTTGCGTTTGTCTTACACCCTGATGAGCCATTTGATCTCAAGCCCTGAAAGTTCTTCTGTCGCAGGTTCAAGGTCGAACGACCCCGTTTCAAGTGACTGGCTCCTGCAATCCCAATGCCATATCAGGCGCGTTGATCGCGCAACAGATCCTGCGCGCATGTAAAGCGACGAGTCAACACGAATGTTACTACCACCCGTGGCATATCTGACGTTCTAAGGTCGTGGTATGGGACCTAATTATAGAATGAATACAGAACTGCTTATGAATTTATTGCCTCTTTCCTGATCTTGAACCTCAGGATTCCTTCATGAGTATGAGAGCCTCGGCTTTCGACAGGTTTAAAGACCTTAGGGATCGTAGGAAATCCAAACAATGCTGGATTTTACTCGCAAAAGGCACCGCAGCTTTAGGCCCGCTAGTTGGTCTGTGTTTCTACTGTTTTCATCCAGACCTCCGTCTACGATGATAACCCATTCTTGTAGTGGCCCTTACACATGAGTCTTAATTAATCCCGAGCATCCACAACACAATGGGGTTGCAGGGTTCCCCATGTGGGCAATACCGGTTTATTTATAATTTCCTTAAAGATTCGATCCCAAGGAATAACCAGTCATTTTTCTGTTCTAGAAAAAGCAGTAAGAATCCCATATAGAGACACCCTCGTATTCCCACGCTTTCGCGCTCACTTAACTGCCTGCAGCACGCACGCAGTTGAGGCCCCAGTGCCAATATAAAGAATTTTCGTTACTACAAATGATTAGTAATTAAGAGGAGCAGCAAGCTTCCGCGGTGTCATATCGTTTGGTCGCTGAAGGATATCTTTGCGTGCGTCGTTATGTGTAAGCCAAGCTGGGGCTTCGGCTACTTGCTTCGCGATTGGGCGGCTAGACATCAGTGCCAGTTCGGTCATTGCCCATGCTCCAAGTCTGCCCAGAGTAAAGCTCAATCACAATGCTAAGCTTAACGATGCAACAGTATCATGCAATTAAAACAAAGTCTGAAATAACACTCTGTCTCATAATTGTCGCCCCACATACACTCCTCTTTTGCCTCAGATGTAAACAAAATGCGCCTGCACAATCCTCTTGGCCTGGGAGCTCTGAAAGTCTGTTTGTGGCGAGGGCCACTAGGTATTCAGGTGTTAATCCTCTCGGCTTGTTTCCAACTGCGACAAGACAGCTTGATGCGGGATCATAGTGCTCATTTAGTAGGATGAGAGGAGAGGAATAGCTAGCATGCACGTTCCTGCGCCCTCAATCACTCCAAACCTTCACCGCTAGATGCGCATGCCTTTCAGCGCATGCCCGCAAAAAATTGGCCTCTTTAGATCGAACCGGCGTTACTTTGCAAAATCTGAAACTGCCAGACGAATCCATTGGTCACTTGTTCACTAGCTCATAATTGTACATAACTAGTACAGTAGAATGTGCCGAAGTGTAACTGTGCCCAATACATCTTCATTCCCCGTGTGCCCGATTTCAAGAACTAGGTTGCCGTGTTTCGGAGTTGTGACACCCCATCTAGAGCATCCGTGAGAAGACAATGAGCTACAGACTCGGTCTGAAATAGTGTTATTGAATCCAAAGAGCACTCTCGCCATGCCCTGCCATCTCCACATGAAGACGGGTACCACTAGGAAGCATGTAGCTGCCCTACCACCCCGATTATTTACAGCTAGTTGCATGTAGCATCTATCTCACACATGCGCAGCAAATAATTTCGGGAGTAAAGCTAACTTCATTGTACAACAATAAATATATGTGAGCCGACAGACCAAATAGTCTACTCTTCACTAATTTCTCAGCTATATAAAGGTCATTCAGCAGAAATTGTTCAGGCCTCTCATAGCGCGCTATATATTCTTCCCGATCTCAAGCGCCGCGTATCCACCCACAAAGCTGGCTATTAATCTTTCGTAAACGAACTAAGGTGGCGCCACTCAAAACTTTCATCTAAAAGCTCCCTTCGACTCTATCCTCTGCTGTCAAAGGACCGATAATCCAACACTTCCCT